CTGGAAGTGGAAAGAAGAGTGTTGCAGATTCCGGGTGCCGGTTCTTAGGACCTTGGGAGGTGTGTTTTGACCTGCTGGAGGGGCTGGGAGCCTTGAGTCAGCTCACCGGGAGGAGCGAGCATCTCCGGTGAATTCTTGCGGCGCAGGGTGAACGTTCCCTGGCGTAGTCCATCCCGCAGGAGGATCTGCTCTGGCTAGATGGCTACCTTAGTTTCTGTGACGATCTGATACTTTGGTGGCTTACCATGGCCCAGCGGGCAGTGTGGCTCATACGTCACGAACCGGGAAATCCACTCGGTGGCACTGTCAAGTTCTCCAGGTAATTGCAAGTCTGGATCCTCAGGCGTGATGGGGCCGAGGACGGATCGGGTAGCAGCTTTTGTGGCGCGTTGAATACCAGATCTTCCAGGAACTGCTGAGTGCGGTTGGGCAAGTTAGTTTTGTACGCTGTAACCTTATCTCACTCTGTTGTAAGAAATGAGTTGCTTGACACATGTTGCTACGACTTCTCTAATATTACTATTATTGTTATCTTTTTGTTGTTGTTAAGCAAAAATACCCCTAGCTACCCTGGAACTCGCTAGCGGAACAGACTGGCCTCGAATTTACAGGTATCTGCCTGTCTCTGCCTCTGGAGTACTGGAATTAAAGGTGTGGGCCACCAGAACCGACTGTATTATTCTGTCTTAAAAATGAATTCCATCTGTTTGAGACTGGTACAGAAATGGTGAAAGAAAAAAAAACTTACTGAGCAGTAAACATGTTTTAGATTTTTTTCAACTTTCAGAGGCAAAATTATTTCAGGATATTTTAATTCATTCTTACAAAAGCTGGTTGAGCAATAGACTGTTTTCGTTTTATCAGTATATCTGATTGTTAGAATCATTATGTGCAGCTTTTAGTGGTTGAACAAAATAGAAGGAGCTATGAAAAATTAAATTATAATCACTTCTTCCTAAGTGACATAAGTGATCTGGTCCATTTTAAGACTTTGCCGTATCTTACCCAAATAATTCTATGGAGAGGACCATGCAGTGACTTAAAATATGAAAGGCAGTCATGCAGTCTTCTAAAAATATGTTTTAGCTATTTTTGTTTCTTCTTTCCAGAACTGGTTATTTAGTTCATTTCACCATGTATTGTTGGAAGTTGGGTGGGTTGGTGGGTTCTCGAGTGTGTGTGTGTGAGAGTTTAGTTTTTGCAGTTCTTTATACTAGATATTAACAGCTTTATAAATTATAGCTGGCTAAGTTTTTACCCCCAATCTATAGGCTGTCTCTCCACTTTGCTTGTAGTTTTATTTGTTTTGCAGAAACGTTTAATTTCATGTGATTGCATTTGTCATTCTTGGGACTGTTTCCTATTCTGGGCAGTATTTCTGAGAAGCCTGTCTTATTGATTGGCCTTGTGTTCTTGGAAAGCAGAACCATACACTAGAACTTCCTGCATGATAGAAAGGGCATGGATTCTAAGTCTATGCTAATGTTAAACCAGTGAGCACATGAGGGTGTATATGAGGAACTCAGTTGTCGCTCTGTGTAGCACTGGCTTACCTGGAACTCACTATGTAGATCAGGCTTGCCCACAAACTCATAGCTGTCCTCCTGGCTCTGCTTCCTGAGTGCTGAGATTAAAGGCGTGCAACCACCATGTCCCACCTCAGTTGATAGTTTTGCTTAAGTGTAAATAACACATGTACCTAGTGTCTACCGTATTGGACAATGTCAATCTAGATGCTTGATCTGTAGGAATATATGGTTTCCTTCGGTCACATTTCTTAGTGACACATTCAAGCTGCCTCTCCCATTCAGAATGATGTTACAGTAAATATCCTCAAACAGCCTAAGGACATGTCTATACTGATTTTGACAAAATAGTGACAAGCAGCTTCCCTGAATGCTAACACATTCATTAGAAATTAGTGAATTTCTGTACTTTCCTGACTCCCACTCTAATTTTTACCAACAAAGAAGATCTAATTTTTGCTTGTTTGTCTTGCTGTAACAATATTTGTTGGTCCCCTGGGTTTCCTTTTCTACGAATTACCTTTACTTTCCAAAGATATCATTTTATCCATTCTGTATAATTTCATCTGTTACATTTAAGCCTTTAGTCCACTTGAAGTACAGCTTTGAATATGGTGTTAAATTGGAATTTCACTTTTTCTTTATACTATTAGACAGTTTTCCTAACACCATCATGTAAATCCCATATCTTTTCTTCATTGGCTCACTATTGATGTTTGCTATATTCCTTCATATAAACATTGGTCTATCTCTGTTCTATGACTTTGTCTTTTTTATGCCAATGTTCTGATTTTACGTGTAGATACTTTTATCTCAACATTGTAATTGGAGACTTACTTTTTGAAAAAGTAAGTCCTTTGAAGAAGTCATGCAGGGCTGAAGAGATGCTCAGTAATTAAGAACATATACTGCTCTTCTAGAGGACCAGAGTTTACTTCCCAGAACCCACGTGGGGCAGCTCATAGCCACCACTAGCTCTAGCCCCACATGGATCCGCTTCTGGACTCCGAAGCCTCTGCTCTCAAATGCACATACCCACCCCAACATATATATATACACATAATTAAAAGATGACAAAAACAAATATTTTAAAAGAAAAGTCATATTTGTTTTCTGAATGCTTTCCCAGTTGTGCATATTATATACTTTAGAAGACACATTCAGATATATTTAGGTGAATTTCACTATATTTCAGTGGAGGTAGCAAGTTAGGTGGTTGCATGATTCATCTATGTGTCTCTTTAACTCTGTTTTATTGGATGAATTGCTAGTTTTGTAAAGTTCTGCATTTTCAGATCTCTGACCACTTGGAGCAGGTGTTGAGGCTAATAGATTATAAATTAACATATGTTTCCTAACCTTTCCTGGAAAGATGTAAAGAAATGGCTAATAAACCTAGATTTAAAAGACAGTAACAGACCTAAGGAATCTATTCAAGTTGAGCTTGGCAAACCAGCATGTTTGTTGGGGTTACTTAAGAGAGTGTGGGTGACTCACAAGAAGACACACCAGCCAAAGTCACCCAAGTGCATTGTTAACCTTTGTGTGGTAGTAGTTGGTGTTTGGGGTAGAGCAGGCCTTGAGAGGTTCCTGTCAGGGTCTCAGCTAGGTCATCATAGCTACTCTGCCTCAAACCAGAGAAAATAGACACACTACTGCATATTCTCTACATACATGCCAAAGAGTAGTGACTATCACTTTCGATACAGGAGGGCAAATGATCTTAATAAAACCATCTTGATTTATAATATCCACTTAACTGCACCTCAGTTTGGTATTATACCATAGCTATAGAGACACTTAAGGCTTAAATTCTGGCTTGAAACTTATGCTTTTCTGTCAGCTTAGTGGCTGCACATGAACTACTGATATTTTAATTATCATCTGCTGTGTCATGGCCCCTCAGGCAGTGCCCCTTCAGCCACTCAGGGCATGGCCTGGCCAGGCTTCTGGTCCTGTGGCCCTAGCTGTGCTATGTCTGCAATGTGTAGGTTTAAATTAAGTCTCTGTAGTTCTATTTATCAGTGAGACTCAGGGGTCAAAGGCTGGGATGAAAACCTGCTAGCTTAGAGAGGCTGAGTAGCAGCTAGCTGGCCTTGCTTTTTGGCTTGAGAGACACATGTCTCTTCCCTTGCCCTGGAACCAAAAGAGCTCAAACTCCAGCCCTTGCCCTTTCTTCCTGTGCATCTTTTCTGTCCAAATTTCTGGCTTCTCTATGGCCAATTCTGGTCCACTGGATCCACCACCTGATTCAAGGTATAACATTATTGGGCAGTCTTGCGATCAAAATATCCCACAACATGAAACAAAACCTAGATTAGTTTGAAATGACAGATTAAGTCATCCAAAATTTTTAAACACATATTGAGACTTTGTTTAAGGTACCAGATTAGAGGGCTGGAGAGATGACTCAGAGGTTAAGAGCACTGGCTGCTCTTTCAGAGGTCCTGAGTTCAATTCCCAACAACCCAAATGGTGGCTCACAACCATCTATAATGATATATGATGCCCTCTTCCGATGTGTACAGGCATACATGCAGGCAGAGCACTGTATACATAATAAATAAATCATTTTTTAAAAAAAGGTCCCAAGTTAGTTTATTTTCTCTATAGTCAACTATGAGAGTAAGACAAATTACTAATGGTGTACTAGCTAATTCTTTTTCCCTTTCAATCAGAAAAATACATAAGAATATAAGTGAAGGTCCACTAATCGATCATTTGAATGCACTACTTTTATTTATTATCAGACATTAGCATCTTTTTAGAGAAAAACACTGTTAGGAAATTATTTCAAAAAGTCTTAGTAGTTACTACCCATTTGCTAGGTTTTTGATGCTGGAAATTGAATCTAGTGTTCCATGCATGTGAAATACATTCTCTTCCACTGACATATACCCCTTGACCTATTGTTTATTTTATAAATAAGAAAATGACTTTAGGAGAGTATATTAGTCAGGGTTCTCTAGAGGAACAGAACTGATAGAATGAAGTGTGTGTGTGTGTGTGTGTGTGTGTGTGTGTGTGTGTTTATTGAAGTAGGTAACAGCCTGTGGTCCAGCTAGTCCAACAATGGCTGTCTACCACTGAAAAGTCCAGGAGTCCAGTGGTTGTTCAGTCATGAGACTGGATGTCTCAGCTGGTCTTCCTTGTACACTGGAATCCCCAAGAAGTAGGCTCTAATGCCAATGAAGGAACTGACTTGTCAGCAAGATTGAAGGGAAGCAGGCAAAAAGAGCAAGCTTCCGTCTTCCATGACCTTTATATAGGGTGCCAGCAGAACGTGTAGCCCAGATTAAAGGTGAGTCTTCCCACCTCAAAGATCTGAGTTAGAAGTGACTCTTCCCACTTTAAATGATTTAATTAAGGGAAACAAATCCCTCACAGGTGTACTCAGCCACTTGGGTTTTAGTTAATTCCAGATATAGCCAAGTTAACAACCAGGAACCATCACAGAGAGTTTGCTTATTTACTCAAAAATGAGTAGATAACTTTATTCTGGACTTTAAAGTAGAAGGAAAAGGAATAAAGAAAAATATATTTGTTGAGTTTCAAAACCATTGTTCAGGAGCTGGTGACTCAGCCCTTAGCCCTGAAAGGAGGTGTAGATGTGATTAATGGATTCTTACAAATGACGGAAAGTGCCTGAGAGTCTTCTGTTTTGTAGTGGAGACAGATTACTAAATTTACATTCTACCCAGAGCATATAAACTGTAAAGGGTTAATTTGATTTTCCTCTTCATTGTGTCTAAATATCTACCAGGGCTATAGAGATAAGTCATTATTACCAAAATAGTCTTCCATATTTTTACAAGGATTGGTAAGAACATTTAGGGCATCTGTTATTCATTATGTAAATTAGTATTATCTCAATAGATGATTCTAAAATTTTAGAGGGTTAAATGTAACCACTTCTTTGTGATTAAGGTGGAATTAAAAATAAAAAACTTACTATAGATACCTGAGAGAAAAAAGGGATTTATTTTGGCTCAAAGTTTGAGGGTACAGTGGGTCATGGTCTAGGAGCTTGAGGCAGCTGGTCACATTGCATCCATAGTCAGGAAGCAGAGAGCAATGAATGGTACCTCTCCACTCCCTCCATTTCATTCAGTTCAGGACCCCAGCCCATGGAATGAGGTCACCCATTTTTCAGGGTGGGACTTCCAACCCCAGGCTAATCTAGAACAGTTTTCTATGCAGACTAAATTGTTTTTCTGTTGGCTTAGTGGCTGCACCTCAGTCTGCTGATATTTTAACTTCTCTCTGCACCCTGCCACCCAGAAGACACCATCCTGCCACTCAGACTGCAGCCTGGTGGGATTTCCGGTCCACCAGCTTGGCTGCAGCCACCAAATGAAGGTTTTAACTAAGTCTTATTGTTCTATTTATCAGTAAAGCCTTAGGAGTCAGATGTTGGGGTGAAAACCTGCTAGATCAAAGAAGCCAAGAAGCAACCAGATGACCTTCCCTTTTGGTTGGAGACACAGCAAGAAAGGCATCTCTCCATTCATTTCAAACCAAAGACCCTGCATCTCTAAGTCCCTCCCTATTCCTTTCTGTGTTTCTCTCTATCTGCATTCCTGGGTCCTCCATACTCACTATGGCTAATTCTTGTCAACTCATCTCTGACTCTACTGCATGATGCGATGTTAATTTTATTAACACAGTCTGAGTTTCACAGTGCATTCAGATATCCCAAACACTAAATCCCATCAAGTTGACAGTCGGATTAACCATGACATCTACCAAGAGGGAATCTGGCTGAAAAGCAAAGGTTTTGAATTAGAAACATGTACTCTACCTGTTTAAAAAACTAATTAAATTGGTTCAGTCATTTTCCATAGTACATGGTACATCTTCTCATTTGAGATAGCATGCTAAATACGAAGCACTTGTTCCAGTCAGAAGTTAGCATGTTTAACGGTTTAGGGTTTTTCCTTTGGTAGTGTATGTTACTTATTTGTTGCTTTTGTGTCTTACAGTTATGACTTTGCCTTCTGTTTTAAAGCTTTTTAATCCTCTCATTGATTTTACTTGGAAGAATCATTTGTGATGTTTCTGTTTCCCTAATGCAGACGATATCCTACTGTTGAAAAGCGAGCCAAAGTCTTCAATGGAAAGAGTTATGTTCCTGTACCCGAAGATGGTCCCTTTCTTAAGGCATTACTCTTTCAACTTAGGTTATTGGATGATGATAAGGACTTTGTGGAGAGGCGAGATAGCTGTTCACACATCAATAAATCATCCATCTATGGGCTTTTAGTAGGAGGTGAAGAACTCTGGCCAGTCGTTGCTTTTCTAAGGAATGATATGATATATGCAAGTGTTCCCCTGGTTGAACAAACTCTGTCCCCTCGCCCATCTTTAATTAGTATTAGTGGAGTTTCACAAGGCTTGGAACTGCTTTTTGGGATACAGGATTTTCTTTACTCAAGTCAGAAAAATGACACTGACCTAAACACAAAATTGAGTCAGCTGCCTGACTTGCTTCTCCAGGCTTGTCCATTGGGTACTTTATTGGATGCTAACTTGCAGAATTCATTGAATAGTATTAATTTCTCATCTGTGACTCAGCCACAAAAACAGCCAGCCTGGAAAGTTGGAACATACAAAGGAAAACCACAGATTTCTATTTCTATCACTGAAAAAGTAAAATGCATGCAGTATGGTAAACAGGATATAGCAGACACATGGCAAGTTGTTGGAACAGTCGCTTGCAAGGTGAGCTTTTCTCCAGGATTTTTGCTTTGTCATACCATTTGACACTGAAAAACAGTACAATTTGCAGCTTGTATTTTACATTTTTAAATGATATGCTTGTTCTCCTTAGCAGCAGCCGTGGAATTTCATAGTATCTTTCTGTAGTTTGTAAAAATTGTTTAAGAGTTCAGTGTAATAAAAATTAGAAAAGGC